CTATTAACATATAAACCTCCTAATTCAAATGGCGTCGGAGGTAGGATTCGAACCTACGGTACCTTTCGGTACGCCGCGTTAGCAGTGCGGTGGTTTCAACCACTCACCCACTCCGACATATAAGTTTCGGCTGAGACAAATAAAAGTTACAATCTTATAATATGTGTGGAATTATAGGATACATAGGACTGCCTCAGACGAAAGTGGTAGCGCTACCCGGAATTGAACCGAGCACCCCAGGATGAAAACCTGGTGACTTAACCGACTGTCCCTAGCGCCATATATGGAGGGGTTAACCACGCCCCTATTTTCTTTTATGGAATTTAGCCCAATCATTGACTGCGTCTTCTAAACTCCAATCGTGTACTGTTCTCCAACCGCGGATACCATATTCGGTTTCAATTTGGTCTTTTTCCCAACGATTGATTGCGTCTTGTTTTGTTTCAAAAAATTTGAATTCCCATAAGTCCCAACTATCAAGTCCATAACAACGAAAATGTCTACCATTCCCAACTTCAACAGTAGGATCTTTGAGTTTACGTCTAATTTTTCTATTTGAAAACTGCTTCCCTTTCTTCATAGACCTACCCCAAAGTGCCATTCGACTTATTGGTGATTTCTTATAACTTCTACTCATTTTCTCGCCTCCTTAGGCCCGAAGCCCTAGAAGACGCTACCTCTATTGTTCATAATTACCTCCTATCCTATTGCATAACCTACTGTGTTATCAATAATAAATGGTGGACGATTATCTCTTTCTACATAAGTATTAGTTTCTTCGTTATATTCAAACCATTGTGGCTTAAAATCGTATTGATAGATACCCTCTGGTATACACTCAATTACTGCCCAAGGATAACAACCTGCCTCCCATAAATCATATCTGTTGTTTCTTACCACGTCTAAGGCTGTGTCTATATCGTGAAAATACCCCACACAACGTGTGTCGTCTTTAGCAACTGTAGTTATGAAATACATATTGTTTCTCCTTTTTTCAAAATATGGAGCCGCTTCTCAGATTCGAACTGAGGACCTACGGTTTACAAGACCGTTGCTCTGGCCAACTGAGCTAAAGCGGCGGTCTAATACGGGCATTGACTTGAATACGCGTCCATATTCTATCGCACTTAATAGGTTGTTTACCCACCCGTTTTATAAGTTCTGCCATTCAATATATACGACATTGTTGAATTTGATACGTTAAATAATTTAGCTAATGCACTACAACCGTATTCTTTATCTTTTGGTTTATACACATCTCTACACCATTGTACTTGTTCTTTAGTCATTTTTGCATTATTTGAATATTCCCCACGAGATTGTGTTTTCCACCTACTCGTAGCCCATTCTAAATTATCAACTTTATTATTCAAAGAGTTTTTTATCTTTATGACGTACCCATTCTAAGTTATCAGGATTTGGTAAAAATGCTAATGCTACTAATCTGTGTACCATAAAATATTTTTGTTTTTGTCTCTTTCCAAAAGATAAGTTCACCATTAAACAATTACTTTTATCTAGTTTCTGTTTTAATATATGACCTGTTATTTTATTTTTGACTTCTCCATAACGAGAGACTAAATATCTATCGTTCACAGTACATTCTTTCCACATTTTTACTACCTACTCCTACTAAATTTTTGGTTGCGGAGACAGGACTCGAACCTGTGACCTCAAGGTTATGGGCCTTGCGAGCTGCCAACTGCTCTACTCCGCGATATGTAAGGATACGTTTAAAATACCCCTTTTATATAGCTTAATTTTTCTTCGTGTGCTTCATAGTTATTCTTTTCGCAATAATTTTTATAGCAATCTTTATCGCAAAAATACTCATTGTATTCATTGAAGCAACCCCATAATATAATTTTTTTACAGTTTTTACAAGTATATGCTAACATATTTATCATAACTCTCCTATTCATACCAAGATTTTTTGGTTTTTCTTGGTGTAGCTTTTATATCCCATTCGTCTATAATATAATCATTGATTGACTTGTGTGACTTTAAATCAATATAAGTGACAGTATCTTCGTCTGCAAGTTTTATAACTACACTACCAAACGCAGGACTTTTTCCAGTTTTACCTAAACCACTTTCAAAATTTATTCTACCTTTTGGAATGAACAATTCACAATGGCAATTCAATTCGTGAAATCTTGCTGTGGTTAAAAACTCAATTGGGAATAGAACAAATATGCTGTTATGAGCAATGTTATATGTTTCAACTGCTTTCGCTAAAAACTTATGCTTGTCAGTGAATGGGGGGTTTATCCATATACGGTCATATTTGGTCCAGTCTTGTGAAAGTCCGTCAGTTTCTATCGTATCATAATGAGGTACTTTGAATTCCGTTGCTTTACCTTCACAAGTAGCTGGATCATAGTCAAAACCATTTGGGTAAAAGAAATCTACGACATATTTTGGTGTATAATATTCATTGTCTTTTGTGAAAACAACACTTGCTTTTGTCATATCTTTTTCCCCTTTCTTCACATATAACATTTGACCAGCCATTTGTTATCTCTCCTTTGCACTTTCTAACAATTCTTTTATTGAGTTTAAATCCTCAAAATGTTCTTCTCTTAGAAATACAATGGTAAATCCATTTTCTTTTGCTTTGTTAACGCGTCTCTTAATCATTTCTGTATGACGCGTTTTACTAATATTTTGTACTTTCATATCTATTGAAATAATAATGTTTTCATATTCTTCTAATAATAAGGCTTGTACGGGTATACCCTCCAATGCTGTTTTATCGTTTGGTTTATATGGAATGTCATTATCTCTCAACCAAGTATATAATTTGTCAATATATGTCGATAAATCTTTTTGTTCGTAAGACATTACATATTGCCCTAATTCAGGGTATTTTATGAAATACGCAGGTGACAGTCTTTTTGTACCTACTACCGCTGCTAACTCTGCTTTAGTCACTAATCGTCCCTGTGCTTTTGCCCATTCTAGCAACTTATCTCCATTTTTAATCATATTATGAGAACCTTTTGTTGCTGGGTCGTGTCGTAATTCTACACCATTATTCTCCAATATACGTTTTACACTGGTTGGATATGTGTGGTATGCACGAGCTATTGAATTTAAGGATTGTCCGTTATTATAAGCCTCTATTAGTTTTTGTGGGTCTAATTTCGTTCTCATATTACACCTCCTCTATCATTTTTACCGCGTCCTCATATATTCTTCTATTATCTTTGTTTAAGTCACATAGTCTAATATTATCAAGAGCTACGGCTTTATCTCCAAGTACGTCTCTTATACTTCCCTTCGGTATGTTTTTCTCAGCAATTATGACGTCTAGGAAAGTATTCTTTCTACCGAAAAATTCAGAATCTAATAAGTCATAAGCTACGTCAATGAATGATTTGTTTAATTTTTCACTAAAAAATCTAAACATATCAGCAATATATGGTGACCTTCCTTTTCCTAAATACGTACTCTCTCCATATAGCACACGTCTGTAAGAAGTAATTTGCATTTCAGGATAACCATATTTAGTCTTGAATTCTCGATACAAATATGCCCTATTTAATGTCCTATATTCAGACAAGTCTTTCATATTTTCTCTTTAGTACTCTGCGTTGATACCACTGCTTAATCCGGTCTTAACTATTATACTATATGTTTGTATATTAGTCAAGAGGTTTCTTGTTTTAGTTCTGTTTCTCTACTGGTTTTGGACGGTCTTTCCATTCTGATTTCTCCCCCGTCTAACATAAACAATAATACAGATAACCAATGAATAGGTTTGTCTGGGTACCATACTCCGTGTCTAGTATGAATTTTACACGCTAACGCAATTCTACTTAATTCAGGAATATCTTTTGTTAACGTGTCACAAGGTAAACCACAATTCTAGTCGGTCTCTAGTTTTATTGGTTTTTAAACGAGGGCTATCTACCATATTGCTGTCAAATAATACAAAGTCTATATCTTCAAAACCATAGTATGAAGTTATTTGTCTAGTGACCCATTTTGGATTACGGTCCACTTCTTTCATACTGCGAGTTTCTAATAAGGGTTTTATCCAATGTTTGAATACATATAATAATGCTCGTAAATATATAACAACCAGTAGTGCAGCAATGATTTTATTATCAACATTTAATGTCATTCGCTTTATAGCCCCTTTCTTTTATTCTTTTTTCTTTTTTCTACCACGTTTTTTAGGTGCCGGTGGTCTTGGTAAGAATAACATTTCTTTATTATCAAAGTAAATAGTGTCATTACCATTATCTTTCTCGTCACCTTCAAACTGTGGTCTCATAAAAGATATATACGCCGTACCAAATTTTTTGACACCAGTCTCTAGTACGAGCAATTCTTTGGCAGTCATTTTTGAAGCCTAAATTGATAAAATCATAATCTGTTTTCTTATCTTCTGGTAATTTATCTAATCAACAGTTACTTCAAATGCGTCCGCAACTTCAAATTCTTTCTTTTTTGTTCTGTGTAAATATACTTTTTATAACCATTCTTATTCTCCTTTCTTTCCTATGTGAGACGTTATATGAGTGACGGTAACTTCTTCGCCATATCGTTGCATTGCGTGCAATAATTCACCAAACTGCTCTAAACTCTGAATATTATAATTTTGTATAAATTCCTGCCCATTGTCTCTTGTGAGCTCTGTATATATTATATAATTTAAGTGATGTTTTTCTTTTAACTCCTCAAATTTTAACACCCAATTCTGTAAGTTCGCGAGCTGAAATCATATATTACTCTCCACCTTTCAATAAAAATTTGTTAGACACAACCTTGAATGAATTGCTCATATCGTTCATTCTAACGACTATACCTTCTGCGATTTGATTTGGTGAAGCGTCTGGGAAGAAAGTTCTATATCTTAAACTATCTGTGAATTTTAACAGATTATTGACATTGTCGTCAACAGATACGTGTGGGTCTATGAATGGTTTATATTCATACTCTAATATTGGTACGTGTTTTAAACCAAACATTTCACAATAATTTAACATTTTTTAATAATCACATTTGGTGTAACTATCCATTTTACCTGTTTCACTTTCAAATACATTGAACACATACCATTCTTTCTCAGATAATCCCAACTTATTTGATTGAATACCAGGTCCACATAGCTCTCCTTGGAATGCTACGTATTTTCCTGTTCTTTCTTGAAGCTCTTTTAATTTTGCTTCCAAATCCCCATACTTCTTAACAGTACTCGTATACATATTTTCGTCTTTATACCATTGATTGCGTCCTCCAATTAAGAAGGCGTCTTCAAATAACCCGGCAGTACACGAAGTACCGTCCAATTTAATTGAAATATAATATGCTCCTGTATCTTGTGCATTCATATATACTGGTAACACATTGTCGGCACATACTTGTATTCTCTCTTCGTCAGTTTTAGGTATATACCATTCGTGGTGTATTAGTTCTCCTAGTGAACCGTTTGATACTGGTGGTTCGTATTTTTCGATTTTTAATAATTCAGTCAAATCTTCCCCGTCTAAATGTGGGCGTTTTTCTACTTCTCCGTTTATTTGTATTTCTAAATCAGTTAATAAATTTATTGGCACAACTAAACCTTGTGAAATTTGTCCTCTCATTTTATGAGTTTTTATTTTGTATTTATTTAATTTTTGAGACCAAGAAGATCCTTTTAGAAATTCAAATGCTGGGATATCCGGTAATAAACTGTCGATTTCAAAATAGATGACTCTGTCACCAACATTGAATTCACCTTTTCTAGCAACACAATCCCAATTTAATATTTGTACTACTTCAATTCTGTCCGCACCCTCTATCGGTCTTATTGCTTTTACACTCTGAACACTCGCTAATTTCCTGCTCATTGTATTTCCCTCCTTTTAATCTATAATGGTCGCACCCAGGACAACCCATTTTCTCCACTCTACAGTGGTCAATATCATAACCAGTACCAGTACATATTTTACACATATTCATTACCCCTTATCTAACATATTTTTAACTAAATCGTTTACATACGCGTTTACTTCTTGTTGAATAAACTCTGCGTCAGCCTGTTTGTTACAAGTAACTTCAGGAAGAGACACGGTGTAAATAATGTTTTTTTCGACAATTTCTTTTTTAGAAATACCTTCACCAAAAGAAATTGAAATTGTCTTATTTCCTTTGCTCAATGTTGTCATAGTTAACCCTCCTCTCTAAATATTTGGTGGTCCAAAACCTAATGCTGTTTTTGCTCCAGATATACTCGCCAATCGTTCATATACTTCTAGTTTAGCTTGCGCAGTAGCTAATTGGCTTTTTAACTGCGCATTTTCTGTTTCTAAACTAAATACTCGGTCCATTACGATTCTTTCTATTTTATCGTAAGGGTTATCCACTGGATTCTCAACTTTCATAACCATTTTTTAGTCCTCCTTGCTGTCTAAACCTCGTTCAGCAAACCCGGCTAAAACACTTTTCAAATCAATACCTAAACTATCTCTCCGCAACGTCTAATACTTTACTAATTTTTTGAGTGTTATTTTCAATTAGTTTTGTAGATTGGTCACCATACATAGTAATACTATCAATTTGTGAAAGTGGTGTTGAAACTTCTTTTGCAACGTCTGGTAAGATTTTGCAAATCATTTCTACAATTGAAGCGTCTTTCATTTTTGCTTGTGCTTCTGCTTTCTTTTCGATTGCTTCTGCTTCTGCAAGACCTTTGGCTTTGATACCTTCTGCTTCTGCTAATAACATTGCTTTTTTACCGTCTGCCTCGGCTTGTAATTTTGCTTTAATACCTTCTGCGTCTAATTCTGCGCTGGCTTTATTTGCTTTTGCCATTGCAATATGAGCTTGTGCTTGGAATTCAGCTTCTTTTGCTTCTGCTTCTGCTTTTTGTATTCTTGCTAATTTATTAGCTTCGGCTTCTGTTTCAATTTTATATTTTTCTGCGTCTGCTTGTTTTCTAACTAATGCGTCTAATTCTCGCTCTTTTAGCGCGACTTCTTTTTCTTTAAGTTCTGTCATTTTTTCAGTTCTAGCAATTTCTGCAGCAACTTCGTTTTCGTTTACTAATTTTTGTTGTTGTGCTTTTTGAATTTCATAAACTGTGTCTGCTTCTGCTTTCTTTCTGTCTTGCTCAATTTTAAATGAGGCTTTTTTAAGTTCTAACTCTTTTTGTTGTTCTGCTATTTTTGCGTCTGCTTCTGCTCTGGCTTTTGCCCCTTCTTCGTCTGCTTGTGCTTCTGCAATTACAACTTCTTTATCAGCTTGTGCTTTTGCAATTCTAGCGTCTTTTTTGATTTTAGATAAGTTATCTATACCTAAATCATTTATCGCGTTATTCTCGTCAGTACAAGACTGTACGTTTAAATTCACTATTTCAAGACCTATATTATTGATATCGTCTTTAGCATTTTCTTGTATTTTTTGAGAGAATTTTTGCTTGTCATTGACTAAATCTTTTAAATTCATTTGACCTATGATTTCTCTCATATTACCTTCAAGTACTTGTTGCACGTTTCTTGCGATATAATCTGAATTTTGATTTAAAAAGTGTCTTGCAGCGACTTGTATTAACTCTGCGTCTTTTGGTATTCTAAACATTTGCGACTGCGTCTACGTCTACATTGATGAAATCTGTCGTAGGCACTCTAGCTGTTTTAACGTCTATTTGAATTAACTCTAAGGTAAGTTTATCCACTCTTTCAAAAAATTTCGTCTTTAGTCATTGGCTCTTGTATGACGTCTATTCCTACATTATATGAATTAGGTATATCATATTTCATAGGGTGCATAGTCCCTGTGTTTGAATGGACGTGACCGTAAAAATGTAATGACCCGCGGTGTTGTTCATTCCATACCTGGATTGGGTAATGAAATAGGGATATTCTATGATCCCCGTCCTTTATCATATAAGTATCTTTAACCCATACAAATAATGACTGGTCAAATTCCTTACTATCTAAGTACAAATGGTCGTGGTTACCTTTTATTAAAAACTTCATACCATTAAGTTGTTTTAATATCTCTGTTGTTTTTTCCCATTTATAAAAGGATAAATCGCCTAAGATATAAATTTCGTCACCTTTTTTAACTTTGTTATTCCAACGTTTTATATATTCTGTGTCCATTTCTTCTACAGAATTGAATGGTCTATTTTCTTTTTCAAATTCTAAAATATTTCGGTGACCAAAATGTAAATCTGAAATATAATATTTCACAGTCCCACAAGTCCTTTCTTTTCAACATAATTCTTCACATCTTGAACACTTTTTGCTATTAAAAAATGTCCTCCTGCTTTTTGTATCCTAGCCCCTTGTGCCAATTGTAATGCACTAGGCTTTCCTCCTGGGTCTTTTACTTCTATCCCAAAGAACAGTCCTCCCCAGCAACATAGTAAATCTGGAATGCCACTTTCTTGATAAAGGTCTCCACCGTGTATTTTATAACAGAGACCTCCACAACTTTTAATGTAATCTTTGATTTCATTTTCTATTTTCTTTTCGTTTTGGGATTGATAATTACTCGCCATTTTTATACAACCCCTCTCTTAATCTAAGCATTATATCGTCTGCGCACTTAACGACAAGTGGTGCTACGACACTTACAAAATCACACTGCTCTTCTTCGTTCATTACTCGGTCTTGCTGTCCTGTTTCCCACAAGAAGATATGTGTCAATTCGTGTCTTAACGCTTTTCCCAAAAGAAAACCATCAAGGTCTTTATCAATGTAAACAGTTTGTGTTATGAATTCTGTTATACCGTGTAATCTAACTTCTCTGTCTACCTCTCTGTCTTCAAAATATATGTCCTGCATTTCTTTGCGATTTCTGAAACACAATTTCCAAATATTTTTTGGGTTTACTGGTGATTTGAATTCAAACATATTAGTCCTCCTTTCCTTTAAATAGTCCTTTTACAACACTAACCAATAAACATATTGCGAAAGCTTGTAATATAGTCAAATGAAAGGATAGGTGGAATACCCAACATATTAAATTCACTGCTACCCATACTGGAATAGCCCATAATATACAACAAACTATTAAGATAAAAATAAGAAATAACAACTTCTCCATCTCCTCCCTCCTTTTGTTGTATATCATATCATAATCACCTCTAATCGTCAACAGATTTGTTGTCTAATTTATAACTTTTTAATGTTAAAATGGAATGTCGTCATATATCCATTCTGGTTCCCATTTTGGGTTATACATCATAGTACTGTCAAACTCAAACGCTGTTAACTCTAAATATAATTCACCCTTTTCTGCTGGGTCTATTATTTTCAATGTGACACCATCAAAACTATCCCCAAAATCTATTGTGTCTGGTAATTGATTTCCCCATTCGTCAAATCGAGCAACTATTGGCATTTTTTTACCGTACATTCGTAGTCTACGACTTGCTGCTACAATATTTTTACGTATTTCCGGTGTCATACGGCATTGAAATTTCTTTATGTGGATAGGTGCTACTTCTAACATTAGTCGACCTTTTTATCGCAGACAATGTTTGTCAAAATTTTATCTTGCGTTAAATATTGTGCGTCGTCAATATAAGCAACGTGTTCACCTTTACAAGGTTGCTTCACATTTACTTTCACATCAGCTTCCTCCTTCTTTCCCAACGATCTTAATATCTCCCTGTGCATTATATCCGCAGTTAAATCATTGACAAAATCTTTTGGAGTTATACTTGGTCGATAGACCAGAGGATTAGAATAGTCTCCAGTTGTCAATGTCACACGATAAGGTTCTGCGCTTGGAGACCAAATACGACTATCGCTCATCCCAATTGTTCATATCTACCATCTCTATTTTCCTCCTCGATCCAACTTTCAAACATTCTGTCGTCAAAATCTTGCCCGTCTTTTAATACTCTGTATATTTGTGGCTCAATACTATTCATTATTTGAAGATAATAATAAACAGGGAGATATTAAGATCGTTGGGGAAAGAAGGAGGAAGCTGATGTGAAAGTAAATGTGAAGCAACCTTGTAAAGGTGAACACGTTGCTTATATTGACGACGCACAATATTTAACGCAAGATAAAATTTTTGACAACATTGTCTGCGATAAAAGGTCGACTAATGTTAGAAGTAGCACCTATCCACATAAAGAAATTTCAATGCCGGTATGACACCGGAAATACGTAAAAAATATTGTAGCAGCAAGTCGTAGACTACGAATGTACGGTAAAAAAATGCCAATAGTTGCTCGATTTGACGAATGGGGAAATCAATTACCAGACACAATAGATTTTGGGGATAGTTTTGATGGTGTCACATTGAAAATAATAGACCCAGCAGAAAAGGGTGAATTATATTTAGAGTTAACAGCGTTTGAGTTTGACAGTACTATGATGTATAACCCAAAATGGGAACCAGAATGGATATATGACGACATTCCATTTTAACATTAAAAAGTTATAAATTAGGACAACAAATCTGTTGACGATTAGAGGTGATTATGATATGATATACAACAAAAGGGAGGGAGGAGATGGAGAAGTTGTTATTTCTTATTTTTATCTTAATAGTTTGTTGTATATTATGGGCTATTCCAGTATGGGTAGCAGTGAATTTAATATGTTGGGTATTTCCACCTATCCTTTCATTTGACTATATTACAAGCTTTCGCAATATGTTTATTGGTTAGTGTTGTAAAAGGACTATTTAAAGGAAAGGAGGACTAATATGTTTGAATTCAAATCACCAGTAAACCCCAAAAAATATTTGGAAATTGTGTTTCAGAAATCGCAAAGAAATGCAGGGACATATATTTTGAAGACAGAGAGGTAGACAGAGAAGTTAGATTACACGGTATAACAGAATTCATAACACAAACTGTTTACATTGATAAAGACCTTGATGGTTTTCTTTTGGGAAAAGCGTTAAGACACGAATTGACACATATCTTCTTGTGGGAAACAGGACAGCAAGACCGAGTAATGAACGAAGAAGAGCAGTGTGATTTTGTAAGTGTCGTAGCACCACTTGTCGTTAAGTGCGCAGACGATATAATGCTTAGATTAAGAGAGGGGTTGTATAAAAATGGCGAGTAATTATCAATCCCAAAACGAAAAGAAAATAGAAAATGAAATCAAAGATTACATTAAAAGTTGTGGAGGTCTCTGTTTATAAAATACACGGTGGAGACCTTTATCAAGAAAGTGGCATTCCAGATTTACTATGTTGCTGGGGGAGGACTGTTCTTTGGGATAGAAGTAAAAGACCCAGGAGGAAAGCCTAGTGCATTACAATTGGCACAAGGGGCTAGGATACAAAAAGCAGGAGGACATTTTTTTAATAGCAAAAAGTGTTCAAGATGTGAAGAATTATGTGAAAAGAAAGGACTTGTGGGACTGTGAAATATTATATTTCAGATTTACATTTTGGTCACCGAAATATTTTAGAATTTGAAAAGAAAATAGACCATTCAATTCTGTAGAAGAAATGGACACAGAATATATAAAACGTTGGAATAACAAAGTTAAAAAAGGTGACGAAATTTATATCTTAGGCGATTTATCCTTTTATAAATGGGAAAAAAACAACAGAGATATTAAAACAACTTAATGGTATGAAGTTTTTAATAAAAGGTAACCACGACCATTTGTACTTAGATAGTAAGGAATTTGACCAGTCATTATTTGTATGGGTTAAAGATACTTATATGATAGAAGGACGGGGATCATAGAATATCCCTATTTCATTACCCAATCCAGGTATGGAATGAACAACACCGCGGGTCATTACATTTTTACGGTCACGTCCATTCAAACACAGGGACTATGCACCCCTATGAAATATGATATACCTAATTCATATAATGTAGGAATAGACGTCATACAAGAGCCAATGACTAAAGACGAAATTTTTTGAAAGAGTGGATAAAACTTACCTTAGAGTTAATTCAAATAGACGTTAAAACAGCTAGAGTGCCTACGACAGATTTCATCAATGTAGACGTAGACGCAGTCGCAAATGTTAGAATACCAAAAGACGCAGAGTTAATACAA